GACTGACATACTGGTAACTTTTGTTGTAATAGAAGACAATGAACACTAAGTACCAGAGAAATTTTTCAAAATATTAAATGATTAAACAATATTAATTTTCAAGTATTCTACTTACGAATACTTGAACCCCTTATATATGATTCCAGTATTTTTGGTTACCGATTACCATTATCTACGTGAGATATTTTTTGTTGCCGACAGCCATTATGGCAGAATCATTTTTTGGCTGTCGATAACTATTATTCGTGACGGAGTTATTTTTAGTCACCAATGATCATTTTTCATGACTGAGGGTTTTTGGTTACTCCTAACCATTATAGTTTTGGTTACTGATACCTATTATGTAAGAAAGCATTTTTTTATCGCTGATAACAATTATCAACGACATAATTTCTTGCTACCGATAATCATCATAAATTAGAGAATTTCTTTGGTGACTAATAACCGTTATTTTTGGGGAATTTCTTTTTGGCTGCTGATAACCATTATCAAAGACGGAACTTTTTTTAGGTACCGATAATCATTATCGATGACGGGATTTTTTCGTTACCCCATTACCAATTGTCGATAACCCGAATTTTGTTTTAGCAACCATTATCAATGGCGAAAAATCGTTTTGGTTGATAAGCAAAGATTTTTATTGTTTATCATGATTATTCGTAATCAAATTGTTTTAATTGAATAAGTCTTATAGCATAACTTTTTAAACTTGTGTTTTTCCCCTTTTACCCGCACTCTCAAACGATAACAATTCTCCATATTTGCGCATTGTTGCTTGTTCAGTTGATACGACTTCTTGTTTTTAAATTATCCAATGGCCGTTAGGAAATATAGAATATTTTTGTAATAAGAAGGTAAAACGTCCAAGTATATTTTATAACACTTCCAGGGCCTTCATAAAGCTTGCCGCTATCGTGTTTAAAACATAGTATCGAGTTTCATGTCCGAAATAAATGCCAGCAATTTATGTCACAATTTTACTCAAAATTCAACAGTCTAAAAAGCTCAGACAGTACATACTTTTTGTTGCTCTCAAGCTTAAATTTATAGAAAATTATTAACACTGGGAAATATTGAAACGTTTCAAACGATACAGGTAAAGAAAAGCTGCTCGATTACTTATCAACAGAGTATATATTATGCAAAGTTCTCGATTACATAATGCAATTTTTTACGATAATGTTTCGAAAGACGTTCGCTTGCTACGATTTAGAGAATTGTTTGAAGTTAGTAACCCCTCCCACCAAATCACACCAAACATCCCAAAGGAGATAAGAGAGAAGCTTATAGCAGAGACAAACACAGAATCTTGAAATTCGATCCGATGTACGAGAGAATCGAAGTAGCTGCAGACACGCAAACGTGAAGATTATATCCAGTTACAGTTACCAACACGTATAAATAATATAGAGCAGCTTGGACTAATTGGATAGGAAGAAATTAGCTTAACCGGTAAATGTCGGTAAATACAACATGTTTCATAGGATTAGAGAAACAGCGAAATGTACGATATGCGGTAATTGCGAACTCGAAAGCAGAGAGTACATGTTATACAAATTTCCACAGCGCTGAACGTGCAGATTGCACATTATAACGGAATATGCCGGAGTACTATTAATAACCAAAGAAGAACAAGTGAAATCAATATACGTATTGCTTTACACAAATAATGCTAAAATTAAAAGTTCTGCTTAAGTAAACTTAAATGAGAATTTAAAATGAGAAAAATCTCTGAGGACACCTAGATAAGACTGCGATAGACGGAAGCTCGTAGAAGGCTATTATTGTGTTATTAATGACTCATCGAACACGAAACGAGGATATCTAAGATTTAATTTTTGATAAAACCCTATTGATGAAAAGTCAAATTGCAATGTTTCTTATTACATTCTTACGTAACAGTATTTACATTTGTATTCTTTTCAGCGGAGAACAGATCAAACGGATTATTATTCTATTGACTTTCAACAATGCTTATTTATAATTTATAAACAGCAACACATCGTGTAGATATGTCTCACGTGTTCTCATTGTCACTCGTCCTTGCTCTCGGAAAACTTGTAAGCAATTTTCAAGTCTTATTAAGAAGAATCACGAATTTTACACTTTTTAAAAGAAATTACTCTTGAAATGTTGGCAATGGCAAGAGGAATAAATCTTCATGTGTTAACCGCAATTTATGAATAATAATTTATGATTTAGCTGTATGACTTTGAACTTCGGACATCGATTTACGAGGAGAACGAGTGTTATTAAAAAGAATTATTCTTATTCTCTACGTTTTCTAATTTTCTAATTATTATTGTTACTCTCTGCATTTTCCTAATTGTTTAAACAATTTTCAACATTGTCACAGACTTCAAAATTGTAAGTGTACTCTTAAACTAGTTTTTTGTGACTCTATATGAAATAACTTGCTGTCATAAAATTGTCCTAGTGTTTGAAAAGAGTGAACATTTGCAGAAGTTTTATGTTTTGATCCAGGAAATTCAGAGGAAAGACAAGATGAGAACGCTACAGAAAGAATTGCTCTAAAATACTATATGCACCACTGGTGTTGCATTCACAAAAAATGTTGTGTCTAGCGCCAATTGAATTATCTTAAAATAAACTTTCAAAACTTGACATGAAAAGTGTAAAAAAGATGCACAATGGGGCGCATAAATTGCTGTTAATTGTTGTTAACCAAATAATAGGTCTTCCATCTCACTCAAATACTAATGCTTCCTCCTCCTCCAGTGAAAATACACTTTGGAAAGGTTCTAAACTAGTTCTCAACAACTGTCGAGGACTTTCTCGACAGAAACCCACCTTCCTGTCCAATGCAGTTTTCAAGACATTAAAAGCTGCAACTGCTTTACGACAGCCCATTGCTTCCGTGCAGTTACTTCAACAGTCATCCGCGTTCATTCTCCGGTCCAACATTGTCGCTCTGTCCTCCATCCGTACGTTCATTTTATCTAAAAGTTAGCGTCCACCGAAATGTCCCATCTTTCCCCAAATGTTACATCTAATTAATGAGACTAATCGAACGACAGTGTGTTCATCTGCTTGAGAATAGTCAAAAGATGACGATCGTTGAGGTTAGGTTGGAGTTAGGTTGAGGTTAGGTTGTCTCCATGGCGGGCGGTAGTGGAATGGCGCCCAGAAGTGGAACTGCAGTCACAGCCTGGTCAATATAACTCGACTCATAACTTTTTTGTCGGACATTACTCTGCTGTTCTCGCAGCAACAGAGTGTCCATGAGGATTTCTCTACGTTAAAAAAGAAAAAGAAGAAGGTTGAGGTTAGGAAACGGAAAAGTCGTCACTAAACGCGTACGAACGCAATAAGCTGACCGCAGCTATTGGTACCGTGTCAAAATTCACCTTGCATTTGTTCGCCAGCTCTCGTCGTTCCCTTGGTAATTCCACGTCAACTTCATCTCGCATCAACACATCGCTAGCTTGCACGGAATAATAAGGAGCGAGTCTTGCAGATGACCATCGAAGGGTCAGCGTCATTTCGTCTTTTGCATCTCGTTCTTTCCTTTGACGCGTGTTTTGCATCTTCGACTTTTTCCAAACCAACGTCAGAAGCAATATCACGAGGTCTCTCGATCGTCGTTTGTTTTTGGGTCACTGATCAAAATGGCTTGTATCTACCACATTTGCCATTTTTTCCATTTGAATCAAGTAACGTAGACACGATTAGAGTGGCTTGTTGAATCTTCTCCTTTTTCGTTTTCTAGTATCCTAGAGTCTTCACAGTCTGTTCAAAACACATTCACGACACAGACATTCGGTAAGTGAACAACTATCCTTTTGGACGGGGTCCGTACGAAATTATATTTCATTGGCGTCAATGCGTAAGTGTTTCTCACCGATAACTTGTTGTCGATGTAACCAACATGTCCTCTTCGGACTTTGGGAGGCTGATCGAGTGAGCGTAGGTCCCTGGCTACCAAGATGGGATGGTCCATTAGTCTTGAACTGCACTGGCTGCACAGCCACGTCACCTGCAAACTGTAACGCAGTTTGTCCACAGATTTTCACGAATTCCGTCGTTTCCAACGTAGCAATTGTGTTGCGTTTTCTATCGTCCTGAGGATTTCTCTTGGCTTGGTCCTGGCTGAAGAACCGCACACTTTGCTGTGTAGGCTTTTCGCTTCCATGCCCCACAATTGGCTGCCAGGATTGGTTTCATAATGCGCTTATGTACAAGTGACTATGCTTCTATGCTGAACTTAGAACGTCCACCGGTCAACCAGAACGTTGCTTTCCTCCTGAGAGTCGAATTTGCTGGGTCTCTTTGTCGTTTGCTGGTTCCATGTTACCTTGCGGTCAAGACGTAACCCAAAATGGTCAACCAGTTGATTTTGGGATATAATGCACCTATTAAGTGCGACGTGGTTATGGTAAATTCAAGGCAAACGTGACATGTCCATTTGTCAGTATTTATTTCCATTCTCCACTGACTTAGCCTGTGTTGCTGCAATGATGTCGACGCAACTTTAGGATATTCGTCGGTGGCTAGAATTGCTGCATCATCTGTGGATGTTCGTCAAATAGTTACAGTAGTTGGTCAGCATGTAGGGTGTGCATCAACTGTACAGCGTAGACCCCGAAGACACTAGCGCTTGCTGAATTATGCGATATTTCTTTTTCCATCCACGTTGGATTATCGTCAATAGCAGCAGTAATAGTTCTTGGAATGTTATTTTCGTTGATGACATTCTCCGTCTTTTTGCTTCGTTTGCTTCGCAATGAAATATTACTGATCTCGAAGCTTACGAATAAACTGTTAGTTGAACTCTTACAACATTTATGTAACCGTTTGCGTATGCAAAATTTATGTTCGCTTACGTTTTTTTCTTCTCAGAACTTGTCATAATTATCGACGATAGCTGATATCAAGATTTGAATATTTCCATCGTAAAGTTCACTTGCGTTCGATACTCGCGCGTTACGGCTGGTTTCTTTAATTGTTTATTGTTATCGTTCAGTCATGTAGCAGATAGTTGGTAACAATTGACAGGGAAAAAGTTAATGGATAATATTACCAGTCAATCAATCAATATTTTTTATATAAAATACAATATATATATATATATGTAACATAATATAAACATAAAATAAAGATCTATATATATATACTGTATTTTAGATAAATTATATATATTATATATAATAATTATAATAATTATTATACCCCCACATTTCAAATTGAATTATTTTCATATAAAAACAAATATTTATAATGTATGTGCATATATACACATATAAATATTTGATAGGAAATTAATTGAACATAGAATGATGAAGTATATATTTGTGTTCTCTGTTTCTTATAACAAGCATTACTCGTGAAGTTTAAACTATCGTTAGCATTGCAAACAACGAGGAATAAAATGCGATTGAAAAACTATTTATGACGAAGATTATTAAATTGTGTATAGCATCGTACACATTGTATCTTATTCTGAAGTCCAACCTTTTGTTACGAGGATATCAAAGGAGATATTGTGACATTCTCAGAATTTTGTAAGATTTCGTAAAAAGGGAAAAAACGAAGTTTAGGTTAATCAGTAAAAAACGTATATTTCTTAGCCGAAAGTGTTTACAACTTCCAACGAACCCTCGGACAGTCACACGGTGATCAAATTGCACTCTACAGTTCCTATTTATCTCACGAAACTTTTCTCGTTATATTACGTAATCCAGCAATTGGAATATCGACAAGTGTTCACAACGCTGTCCAATTAGCAATGTACGCTAATTGCACGTGCAAACTGTACATATCTCACAAGGCTTATTGAACGGAAGAAAAAAAGAGAATTTACAATACAAATGTTAAATAGAATAAATTATCGTAATTACGGCATTGATTTCATTTTAGTGAGCGTAATATAATAAACCCAACTTTAATAAAAATTTACTTCAAAATGCAGATCTCCTTCCACTGTCTTTTTTACCAATGGCGGTAACAAACTTAAAAGGACACTTGCTTATCGACACACAGTTATCGCGAACTTCTTTCGAAACATAATCGTAAAATGATACAGCCCGGCGTTGAACGTTAACAGCGAGCACAGATGCGAAATTCAAATTTATGTACAGACTTTGTAACGTTCAGAATAGAAGCGAGAACTGTATGAGGCAGCAAGACGTAGCTAAGATAGACGTTTTGAAAGGAATAAGAAAGTAGAAAGAGAGAAGGTCCTGGAGGAAAATTGCATTAATTAATAAATACAGCTAACGAATCAGCCATTGCTCCCGATCCTCCCTGGGTTCCTGGCCGATCCTGGCGGAGGAAGAGAGAAGCATTTCGAACAATACGCTCCTGGAACCGGAAGAATCTTCCGACCAGGAGCTACAGGATCCCCAAGAGGATGACCCTTATGAATACGACGAAGACATCAAACCGTCGAACGAGGATTTGTTGGAAAACGAAGGTTTCCTGGATGGAAATTGTCCCAGCTCCTCTAGGATACCCGCGCCTTGCTGGGGATGTTCCGATTGCACCGGATTGCATACACCGATTTTCCTGTTGGCTTCCTCGCCGACGGAGCCATCTTGCACCTGTGTTTCCTGTCAGTAATTCTCAAATTGCCGGGATCAGTTGAAATGGCTTGAGCTTCTTTTTCCTTTTCAGTTCTTGCATTACACTTCCCTTCGAGTTTCGCAAATCCTCGCCTGTAACGTAAGTAGCTGATACACTGTTCAAAATACGAAATTAATCAGTGTGTGATGCGCCGGTGCTTTGGTACAGAATTCGAACGAATGGAACACGTGGAATCAGATTTTACAGGTTTTACAAATTTCTTCGTTCTCGGCTCAGTTCTCGAAAAATTCGAGTTTGAAAATTCATCGAGTTATCTATTAGGTTGGCAACTAAGTGATTGCGGATGTTGCCATTAGGTGGCACTGACAAAATCCGCGATCACTTAGTTGCCAACCCAATAGTTAGAACGTGGCTTATTGCGGGTTAGACGAACACTAAACAATCGACAGCTGCTTCTACGCGTGAAAATTAGTCCAAAACGTAGAATAAAATTCTTCCATTTGAAGCTTCGTTCTCAAGAAAATGAGGTTTGAACGTGTTTAATTTTTACAGTAACAGGCTCGGTCGGGTGACCGGTTTCAAAATGTATTGAGGTTAGGTTGGGTAACTTAGTTGCCAACCCAATAACTTAAAATTGTACATTCGTCGTTATTTCTTTTGTTCGTTCAACTTTACGCAAATTCTTATATTAAGAAAAATTGAGGAACTGATTCATCAGATGATATTCGGTTTGATACGTGTGATTAATTTTTTCAGTTTAATTTTTTCTCGGGAACAGAGCGCGATATTTTGTTCTAAATTATCGACTTACTTCCGCGCGTAGAATGACGTGGAATGTCGATTATCTAGTCCCGTCTAGTCCCGAATTGGTCAAATTTAATTTATTTCCAAACTCGTTTTTCTCGAAAACTAAACCGGAAATAAACAAATCGTATTGTGTATTTTCTTCGTAGAGGATCGTCATAGTTGAACCCCTCGGTGTCACATTGGCTCACGAAACGCATTTGTCACGTTGGGTCAGCCAGACCCTGATCAATTTTCGAGCAGCTGCTGTTCAAAGAAAAGCAGTGATATTGAATCGAACAAATTTGGGAATATAGTTTGAACATTCTAGGATATTTGTTTAGATAACGAAAGAAGGTTAACGAAATGACATTATTTTCGAAAAAGAGATCTCCAACATTGTTTAGAAAAAAAAACATTTTTGTGATCTTTTCTATGTTTCTTTATGCTAAACACGTGGTACTCTAAGGGGAAAATAGTTTTCTAGTGCACGTTTCAAAAATTATATTTATCTGACACGTCGAGGACGAGCTGTTTGTGAATAGAAAAAAATCTGCTGCAATTATATGAAAAAGTCAATTCATTCCTACATAAACATACGAAAATTTTATATTTTAATTATACGTACGCAGATTTAGGTATTAAGATATAATAGCGATTTCACTCAATTCATGCACAAGAATTTCTATGGAAAATTTTCACAGAAATAAAATCTGCTCGATTGCAGGAAAAAATATGCTTTTGTCACACTTGGGTCAGCCTATCCCATTACAAAGTTGAGAGAATCGCCAGACACAAACTAATGGGATCGGATGTTATAAAAGAACACTACAAATTAATAATAGATAATACATTTAATAATACACATAAATACAGACAAATACAATTACTAACACACATAATGCCATTGTAGGCTACACTTTGAAGATATCTTTATCCAAAGTAAAACTGTGGGTCACTATGACCCATGATGACAACCGAGGGTTAGGAAACTTTGATATAGCAAAAACCGCAGTATCCAAAGACCAGCTGTCACGACGTATTATTATTCAAACGTTCCATACGCGTTGCTCGAACTGCAACTGTATTCGTAACGCGATAATATTCGTCAGAAGTAAAACACGCTGGCACTCGAAACTCGTATTATCCGCGCGTGTTTGAGATTCTTGCTGGGGGAAAAATTTCTTGGCCGTAACAAAAGTGTCGTAATGTATAAATTATCTTATCAATGCGCCACAGTTTCCCGTTATAGTATAGAACTGTGCACACTTAGGATATAAAGCGGCTGGATCGTAAGGTTTTTCCGTTATTTTGAACAGTATATTAGAAACGCTGAATGAGAAGTTGACGGTGAATGCGCAGCATCCGGTTGGTCGGAGACCGAGATGACGAGAAGGCGCGTCACCACGGTCTCTCCTCTCGAACGTTCGTGACTCATTCGCGTGCCACGGTCACATTTCACATTTCCTATTTGTTTCTTTACCCTTTGCTCATGACCTTGTGTACTTATACCCCAGGATGAAAGGGGTGAAAGGGCAATGTCACTGTAGCAGGATTCGCGATACCAAAGCATTCAAAAGCTTCTAATTTTACACTTCTTTCGAGACCTTGGACTTAGTATAGTGTCCGGACCGTAAAGTTATCGGTCCGAACATGTCTCTTTACGAGGGTACTTTGAGCCGCTAAAGCCGAAAACGAGGGTCGTTTTTCACCGTCTTAACAAGTCTTTATCGTTCGAGCCACCGACAGTTAACACTTAGCCAACCGAATAAGGAGATCTCCCCTCTTTGAAAAACACCGCTGAACGAGGAGATCTCCCTTTTTCATATTTTAGCAACACGTTTTCTTTTTCTTCCTTTTTTGTTGTTATTATCAGTTATTGTTTACCTGGAATTGTTCCCAATTAATTGCGCCACCTTTTCTACTTTTATAAAGTACAGTATATAATAAATAAAATACACCAATCTAGTGGTGTTAAAATTAATTAAAAAGTTACACTATCAGTTATGACTAAATAAAATTATAATGGAAACCACACTGTAAACAGATATTAAAATGCATTATGAATTTTTAATTTCACGTTCAATTCGTATTATTTATCTTTAGTCGTCTTTAATTTTACCCATATTTTTTTATACTTTTAATATATACTTTCAATAGGATATTTCGTATGAACAATATATGAAATCGTAAAATAAAATCATTACCGCAAAATATAGTTGACCACTTAAATAATTTCTAGACTTCTTTGTTTTTTAAGTAAATGAATATTGATCCTCGATACTTGGAAAAATGCGCGGTGGAAACATATAGCTCGCTGTGGCGCGCGCAGTTGGCTAAATCGTCTTTATCGTTAGAGCCATCTACAGTTAAGACGAAGCTATTTCAATCATAACCAAACAACTAGTCTTTAAAAAATACGTAATAATAGAATACTTCAATATTTAGTGATTTTTCACTTTCTTACAGAAGGAGTTCCACGTTATGTAGTATACTCTTTGGTATTTATTATTAATCCATCTAGGACTATGATCCCTAAACGAGGGTTGCCACGTTTACAAAATTGTAGAACCAGTTATTTTCACTGGTATTGGTATAAGTAACAGAGATACAAAACTATTTTCATTTTGAATATATAAAAAAAAATTCATTATATTATTCCTTTAGTTATGACTGCTGACTTTGCAGGGGGGGGGGGGGG